GTCATCTCAGGATCCTGCACTCTGGGGCCCCCGACCAGTCATCACTCAGGGACTCCATTTTTGCTCCTCTGGGAGCAGCTAAAGAGAACACAAGTGTGTGATAAAGAGGAGCTGAAAGCATGGAGTGGTGGAACCACTAATTGTACTGAACTTGGGGCCAGTAAACCCGGGTCTAAGTCCTGGTGACCTTGAACAAGTCACTTAACCTTGACTGAGTCTGATTTTGTCATCTGTGAAGTGGGGACAGTGTTCTTTTCCACATAGGGCTTTTATCACACAATGCATGGGAAAGTGCCAGGTGAATTGTGAAGTGCTCCCCCAACCTTTACATCCGTGCACAGCGATCTGAAGGTGGCAAGGAGTTTCCTACACATGTATGCGGGGCATTATGATCGAGGGAGGCTGGGAGGCTCTGAGGTCAGGTCCGGGTGCCAGCAGCCCTGGCTGAGGGGAAAGGAGAACCCTGGAGTTGTGTGGGGGTCTTTGCTGTAAGGAGGCAGGAGGAGCAGGGCCTGAAGAAGGGGGGTGCTGATGGCTCTATGGTTATTGTTATTTTGTATCTTTTAGGTGTCCTCTTTTTCAGCCTAATACAATCTTTTATTGTTGTTAATACTCACCCAAGGATATTTTTTCCATTGATTTTTAGAGAGTGGAAGCGAGTGGAGGGGAGAGAGAGAAAGAGAAAGATCGATGTGAGACACAGTGGTTGCCTCCCGCATGTTCCCTAGTGGGCTGGGGATCAAACCTGCAACCCAGGTCCATGCCTTTGACTGGGAATCGAACCTGCGGTCCTTCGGTGCATGGCCGGCGCTCTAACCACTGAGTCACACTGGCCAGGGCAGTACAGTCTCTTTTCATTTCCACACAGGCTTCAAGGTAGGCTGTTGGGAAGAAAGGTTGGTGTGTAGGGAAGACCCTGGGGCCTAGGCCTGGTCCTTGAGGGTGGGGGGAGGGCCTGAGGAGCTTGGAAGCAGTGGGTTTGGCAGGAGAGAGGGTGACATATGTGGGGAGCCCTGGGGACCCAACCAGGCAAGCGTCTGGCAAGGAGAGCAGACAGTGTTAACCCTTGCTGTGCCACACTGCCTGACCCTTCCTGGGATGGCCCGTGGGTGGGGTGCTGTGCTCTGGGTCACAGGAACGAGGTAAGCAGGAGCACTTGTGTTCCTGGGGAGCAGCTTCAAGTCTTGGATCTTCTTACATCTTCGAGGTTCTCTCCTTGCCTGCTTCCACGCGGTCTCGTCTCTCTCCCTCTCCACCTCTCTGTGCCTCTAGGTGACAGCGGGTCTCCACTCTGGCTAACTACACAATCTGTCAGTCTCTGCTGCCAGCCTGGCTGGAAGCCCCCCTTCTCGGCGCCCGAGCCCCTGAGCCCTCTCTTGCCCCTGGCCCCTAGCCTTGAAGCCTTTGTCTCGTAAGGCAGCTTCCCCTTTCTTCTTTCCTCTCCACTCACCTCTCCTCAGCTCAGAGCCCATCTCAGATCTGATTATGACCTCCGACCACTGCACACACACGCCCAGCCTCTTCTCTTCCCTCCCCCATCCATCTGTCTTCCCTGAAGCTCTCTTCTTTGTGTCCACCCATCTGTCACCACCAGCTCAGGGCCCACTCCCCTCCCAGCCACACCCACCTGGCCTTTCTCCCCTCAGGCTCCGTTCCCTCGAGCACTCGGCACTCACAGGCGCCTCTCCTCCTCCAGCCCTACTAGGTGTCCCTACTTCCATATCCCGTTTCTTCTTTGTCTGCCTCCCCCCACATGCTCTCTTTTATCTGTTTTTCCTTCTTTTCCTCCAGTTTCTCTAACTTCTCAGTTGATGGGGGAGGAGGCGAGTGAGTGGACTCTAGGGCCTAGCCCCCAGCCCCAGCAGCCAGCCAGCCTGGGCCAGAGGTAACATTCACGCACAGTTGCATCACCGTCTCAGGCCTCCTGAGATGCCTGCTGCGCTCCTGGGCGGTTTCCCCCGGCCAGGAATGGGGGCTGCGGCTTCTCTGCTCCACAGCCTGGGAGTTCCTCCCCCTCTGAGTGAGGATTCAGGAAGGAATCCGACCTGAGCCCATTCAGACCCTGACCTTACAAGGGTCTCTGCTTCCCAAGCAACTCCTGCCAAGTTTTTTTTGCAGATGGATGCACGTGACAGGCCTCTTTCCTATGGCATTATGCCACAATTCCCCAAATTTCTACTGCCTCTGGGTTAGAGGATAAGTGCCCCTCAGGCCTCCTTCTCCAGATTGACCCCAATATCTTAGACAGTTCATGAATTTCAACCTTTCAAATCAGCCCCTCCCGGAAGAGTTTAAGATGAAAGGGAGAAAGGGAGGCCACACAGAACCAGGCATCAGGGCCAGCAGAGGGACCTCAGAGAGCTCCCGACTCACACTGCACAGATGAGAACCCTGGGACCCAGAGAGGGGGGAGTGCCCTTAACAGAGCCACACAGGGCATAGGGCACGCCAGAAACCTGGCCCTGACCTCTTCCCACAACGGGGAGCTCCTTCTTACTGGCCCCACCCAAAGTGAACCCTCCATCCTCTGGATTCAGGTAGAACCTGTTTACAGCACTGATTTTGTTTTGCAAGGAGCACATGCTGCCCACCTGTTTGTTTTATCTGGTATCATGTCCCTGCCTGCCATCTAGACTTTCAGTCTCTGAGGGTAGGGCCTATCCCATACCCTTTGTGATCCTGGACAGTGCCTCATCAATAGCCATGCTCCATAAATGTTTATTACTGCTACAGCTGCCAGTGCAGATATACGGAATGTTCTAGTCTCAGCTCTAATTTTGTGTGTGACCTTAGGCAAGCCACATCATTCCTCTGGGCCACTGTTCCCCCATCTATCAAATAAGTTAGACCATGCACATAATTTCTAAGGTCTTATTATACAATCCCTGGAAGAAACAAAGTCCTACTGAATAAGGTGGAATCTCGGTGCAGAACCCCAGACTCTGGGTGAAAAATCCCCTCCCAGGATGGACCTTTAGGAGTCATGGGCAAGAAGAGAAGCCGGGGTGAGGCCAGCTGACAGGAAAGCCATTAGTGTCGATGGACGAGGTGTCCCAGGAGGTATAGGCTGGGTCTTGGGGCAGGGAGCTCGGTTACTAAACCTTCAGCATAGGATGGGTGGAAGAGAAGGCACAGTGTGAGCCATCACCAGGAAGGAGTAGGGAGGGAGGGAAGCCCTGTGGGAAAGGGAGGGGCTGGGAAATGTATTTCAGAAGGCACAGGGGTGAGCAAGGCCTAGAGCAGTGGGAGAGAGGCTAAAGAGTTAAACTCAGGGCCCTAAGATGCTGCCAGTCACCCACCTGGTCTCCAGGACACCAGAGGTACCTGGTGAGGAGCCAAACCAGACTCAGAAAGGCAGCCACAGCAGGTCATCTGAGGGCCTGTACCTTCTACGAAGCCTGGCCTCCCTGAGAGCCACAAAGCCAGCCAGTGTTTTGGTTCCGTTTTCGGGAGAGGGTGGGGGGTGTGAGGTGGGACAGCATGGAAGGCAGAAAAGCAGCTCACGGCGAGGACTCTCCCAAGGCGGAGACTGATACTGAAGGCCCTGCATCCTGTACCCTTCGTTCTCACCCACCCTGCTTCCCTTTTCAGCCCCATCACTGGTACCCAGCCACCGCCTTGCTTCCTGAAGCCACCAGCGTGAGGAAGTGGTGCCCTGTCCGCCGGGAAACCTGCTGGCTGAGGGAGGTGTGGAGTCAGCCCAGACGACAGAGGCAGCTGCGCTCGGCTGCCGCCAGCAAGCCCAGCTTCTCCAGCTCAGCCTGGGGGGGGGGCAGCAGCGCTTATTTCCATTCCCAGAGCCCCAAACATACCCCTGGGGGAGTCTGGAAAGAAACCTGGAGAAAAACCACCTCCTCTCAGCAGGACTCGGAAGGGTAAACAGCCCAACTAGGAAACTCAGAGGGGAGGGGACTCTGAAAACGGCCAGTTCTTTCCCATCTCTGCTGGCCCCAGGCATGTGGGAGGTAAGCCTCTTGGCCACCGTGAGGGAGAGGGCTGGCTTCAGCACTACTCCTGCCAGTTCTGTCCCCTCAGCTGACTCAGCCACTGCCCACCACTTAGCAGTAGTGCCACACTCCAGAATTCTGCCTCCACGAAGACTCGGGAATTAGTCTCTCCAGAGTCCCAAGCCACTCGTTTTGAGCTACAAAATGCCCACCATCAACAGAAAGCCCACACTCCTTAGCAGGCCACCCAAGGGCCCTTGTGACCTGGCCAAGCCTCTCCTGCTGGCCCTATGGCTGAGGGACACTAAGTCCCATCTCCAAACATGACCAGTTTTCTCCTGACTGTGCTTCTACCTGGTGACTCTAAATCCACCTCAAATGCCACCTCCTCTGTGCAGCCTTTCCAAATGCCACCTCGCTGCCCTGAGTCCCACCGTGTACTACCATGGCACTCTGGGTGTCCTGTAATTGTTCCATTCATCACACTGGGTCACACCTAGTCGGAAGTGTATCTGTCTGTCCCCTCACCCCAACTGAGAGCTACTCAAAGGCTATGTTCCCTTCACCACTATACCCTCACCAGTATCTCAAAGTAAATAAGGAAATGTCTGTCAAGCCTGGCCAGTGTGGCCGAGCAGTTGAGCACTGACCTATGATCTAGGAGATTACAGTTCGCTTCCCGGTCAGGGACATGCCTGGGTTGCGGGCTCAATCCCCAGTCAGGGGTGTGCAGGAGGCAGCCGATCAATGACTCTCTGATCATTGTTTCTCTCTCTCTTCCTCTCTCTGAAATCAACAGAGATGTATTTTTAAAAAAAGGAAAGAAATGCCTGTCAAATACACAGGTGGGAAGAAACTGTGAACACTTTCCTTATGTGACAGAAAACAGGGCTCCACACCACAGAAGCAGCCCTGCTTCCGGGACTCCAGCTGCTGTGACAGGGCCTTATTCCTTGCCCCTCACAAGACCCAGAAGAGAGGACATGAGGCGTCAATTTATAGTGACTTCCAGTATGGGGTCACTGAACAAGGGAGCCTGGGACACACAACAGGTTGTGTGGGATACTCTATTTTAATGAAACCCATTATTTATATATTTACACACACATACACACACGCACACACACAAAGGAAAACAAAACAACAAAAATAGATATTACAGCTTAAAAAAATGACACATGAGCACTGTGGGCTGGAGGTGGGATACCCACCCGGCAGCACACCCGCCCTGATGGGCCATCTCAGGGCCTGGAGACAGGACGGCGGGAGGGAGACGCAGGCTCGGCCCTGTCCTCAGGGCTTCCTCTCAGTTGTTCCTGGCATTCGAGCCTTCCTGTCATTCTTCCTGGTCAGGAAGGTGGATAGGTACAGGAGGTTGGGGGGGGAGTAGAGGAAGGTACAGGACAGGATGGAAAGAGTAGAGACGGGATCCTGAAGGAGATTAAGTTAGGCGGGATGGCGAGGAGTTAAACAGGAGCAAGATGCTTCTGTTTGTCATCCCAGATTCCGACAGGGGGAGAAAGAAGAACCAGGAAAGGGAAGACAGGAAGGGGAGCTGGGGAGGGGAGGAGACTTGTTTATCTCTGTCTCTTTTGGGCAGTTCCACTTGTGTATGTTAATCCCAGTCTGAGCCAGGCCCAGAGAGGTTCCAGTGACAAACTAGTGGTTTCTGTCCCAGTGGGACAAATGATCTAGGAAATGAACCACAGAGCTGGCAGGAAAAGCTGGGGTTCTCCTCAGAAAGACACAGCATCCGGCTCCCGTGGAGCAATGAAAAGGACATCAGCTTTGGCGTTGATGCAGTAGGTGACGACCAGAGAGAAGATTAGGACGCCAAAGCCCACCACCAGGGTGATGATCTGTGGGGGAGAGGGGCGTTCTCAGATTATCCCAGTGCAGTTTGGGGTAATTGCTTGGGGCTGGGAGCCAGGACATCAGAATTCTGGAGCTGGCTCTAAGCACCAAGTACTGAACAATCACAGGCAACATCTCCCCAATCTGGAGACTTAGTCTCCATTTTAAAAGAGAAGCGAAGTACCTCTACTCGTTTCTGTCTTAGATTTAAGCATCTTAAAGGCAGGACCCATAACTCTGATTCTTTCGTGGCAATTACATTACTGACTTACTTGTGACAAGTAATAAATACTGGATTGACTCATCCCAGCTATGCAGGTGGGAATGCCAGTGGGAGGGAAGCTGTGGAAGGGCTACCTGGGACCACAGAGTTAGGTGTCTCCTTGGATATCTATGAGAGCACATCTCCAGAATGAACCCAGAATCAAACTGTCAATGAAAACAAGCTTCCTAATGGGGCATACTAGCTGACAGGGGGCAGATTTATAGTACGTTTTTGTGGCAAATCTGGGGCAAACAGGAGATGAAAGTGGTCAAATAGATCTCTGCCACCACCTCTCTCCCTATCTCACCTCAAGCTCTTTGCTGGCTATCAGAAATATCCGGGCGTGGATGTCTTTCCAGCGGCTCTCAGTCCATGTAGAGTACTCAGTAGAGCCCCACTGCCCGAGTTCAAAGGCAGGGGACAAGGCCCTGGCCAGTCGTGCCGTGGAACGTACACACCGAGGGAGCCGGTCTGTCTTGTTGGAGTTCAGAGGGCCCTGAACCCACATGTACTCATACAGCTGCACAGGAAGACAGGCCAGGGCATGGGCTGAGGGGACGGCCCTTTCTCACTCACTCCCTTTACCCTTTAGATGGTCCTTTTCACTCAGGCTACTGCCTGTTCAACACTCAAGTTCAAAAGGCTGCATCCCTCCACCTCTCCATCCCAAGCCCTTGGGTCCAACTGGGCCTTGGAGATCCTCCAATTTTCCCAAGGGAAGGGGACCCTTGGGGTACCTCCAACACCCGCTACCACTCACATCCTTGTTTTCATTGGGGGATTTACTTGGATCCTGGCACTGCTCGCGGGTAAGGTCGACCACCTTGCCAGTCAAATTTGCCAAGGCACACTGTACAACGTAAGTGGTGTTGGTGGGGCTGGAGACAGCGATGTAATGCTGCAGAGGCCCGTCACCTGATTGGACGCCACAGGGAAGGGAGGAATTGGTGGGGAAAAGCGGCAGTGCAGATGGTAGAAAGAGCCCAGGATTGGCCGGAGCCAGGGAAGGGAAGAGCAGAGAAACAGAAAGAAAGGGAAACATGGGGAGAGGGGGCAGAAAGAGAGGAAAAAGAGAAAAAAAGTAGAGATTAAAGCAAAATGATGACTTTTCCAATATCCCTTTCCTTAGCGAAGGGGCCCATTCCCGCATCAGGTACTTACCCAAGTAGGACCTTAGGTCCTGCCTGAGGATAGACTGGAACCATGAGTTGTTGGCTCTAACCAGGAAGCCATAGAGCAGGCGGGTGACCTAGGGTTGGGACAGTGAGAAGAGAGAACTTTGTGACTTGGACCCCAGGGACAGAGTGATTAGTGGAGGTCAAGTCATGGGGTAGAAGCTAGAATAGCCAGATAGATTCTGGGGTTGGGGGGACAGTGGCTGGCTCACAAGGGCACTGATGAGGCCCAGTTAAGAGCTCTCTGGGGCACCAGGTGTCCTTACAGGCACTTACAGGAATGCTGAATTCCAAGGTGTGGGAAACTAGGCAAGGGACATAAATGGACAGAAAGGAGCCAGGGCCCATTTGTTCTTACTGTTTGGGGATCAGCCTGAATAGTGTTGCTGAATTTCGTTCCTCCTGCAAGCTGGTACAGTGCACGTCCCAGCACCGTGGCCACATCTGCAAGGGCCTGTGGTAGGTGAGGAGTGGGGCTGAATGGTCCACTACTTCTAACCCAAACAGTAACATTCTAACCATCTTCACCATGTTCCTCCTGTTCCCCACCCAGCCCAGGCCAGTGTGTTCCCCCTGTTCCCACCCAGCCCAGGCCAGTGCTACCTTGGCAGTGTCTGTCACAAAGCTCAGGTCCTCTTCAGGGCTCTGCCACTCAGGGTAGCTCACATTGATGTTCTCAGCGGTGTCATACATGCTCTCGTAATAGCTGCAGGGGAAGCCAACATGAGCCTTGGCCACACTCAGCTGGGCCCTGCCCCTTCCCTCCCCACATGGTCCTTGTGCAGCAGCTTGGTATTTCATTTCTCATCACTTAGGAAGGGTAGAGAGATTAGGATTCCATACTGAAGAAGGTGTGGAGAATGAGGAGGTAAGAGTGAGGGTGGCAGCGGTTAAATAAAGAGACTTTTCTGACAGATGAGGCAGAAAAGGCGCATGAAATTGGAATGCAGGAATCTCCACCCCAAGAGATCTTTAAACATAACAGACCCTTTTCTGGCATTTGGGCTGGAGATCTAGGAGGACGGCTAAAATGACTTTCAGGGAAGCCTGCCACACATTATCAGAGCAATCGTGTGACTGTTCCAGTGAACGTTTATATTGAGGGTAGCTGAAAGTAGAGGGGAATCAGCACACCTGTTCACAGACCTATACTACTACACTAGGCCAAACCACCCGATGTTCCTTGGGGAGCCCCAACGAGACAGATCCTAGAAGTACGGCTAAGAGAGCTCCCAGACACAACCATCAATAAATGCCTGTCCCCCACACAATCAAGTCAGCCATGTGAGTCCAAAATGTGTTCAAATGATGAATCCCAAAGTGGTATGGATGATAAGCTGGGGGAAGAGAATTGACCCAATGCACCAGAATTGTCACTGCCCAAAATAAGTGAGAAGTCGCTAGTTGGCTGCAGTCAGAGAACCAGAGCTTAAGCATTTTCATTCAGAAACTACTTTGACCTGTTGGAAAAGGAAAGGAGGCTGGGGGCTTAGCAGTCCAGCCTGAGTAAGAAGTTCCCTGTTAGCCCAGGGCTCAAGTTAGAGACAGTTTAGAGGTGTCGAGAACCAGGAAAGAGGTGACTAACAGGCCTCACCCCTTATCTCTGGAGCTCCCTCAACTGTAGGGGGACACTATACCTTCACATTGAACCACATGCACTCACCCCATGGCAAGAACAAGCAACATTTCAGTGTATGGTCTTCGGCGCTGTCAGGGGGCCCCAGATAGTGACAGCTCTGTCTCTTACACCTTAAGAACACTATCATCATCCCAGCACTCTTGTGTGAGATGTTGCCTTCTACCAGCAGCCCTGGGGCATTCAGGCCCTTAGAGAGCTTGGGGGAGGTGGAAGCATAGCAAGGATGACTATGCAGGAAAGGGCTAAGGTGAGAATTGTTTCCTCAGATGAACATTAAGTCAAAGGAGGAGACCAGGTTAGATATGAATAGGCCACTGAACAAACAGAAGCTGACCTGAGGTTTTGGAGAGGCTGGTGTGGGGAGAGGGGAGAGCAGTGATCTTCCCTGACACGGAAGACATCTCTCTGCGGACCCCTGACTGCAGAACAGGCTCTGAGAAGGGGATGCATGCTAGGTAACTTGCCGGTTATGGAAGACAGTGGCGTGGTCGGCAAGAACAACACCTGAGATATTTCGAGCTCGAAGAAATCGCTGTAGAGAAGATGGTGGGAGAGGCTGGGACTGGGCTGGCCTCCGGAGGACCACATCAGGGACGCCAGTACCACTCTGCTCCAGTGTGGTCAGGAGATGCTCCACCTGGGGGATGAATGGGGTTAACTCATGGGAAGCTGTGGAATGGCAACTTGGGAGGTCTTTTAGGCCTGAAATGCATTTTACTTCAAGTTCCCAGCTTGGGGAGTTGCTTTAAGCCTCCTAGGTATAAATTCCTCAAGTGTTTTGGGATCAAGGCCCCCTGAAATTCCTGCAGTTTCTACCATCCTTTTAAAATTATGGCGTGAAAATAATAATAATAATAATAAAATAAAATAAAATAAAATTATGGCATGATGAAGGAGAGGCCTGTGTTTTTCACATTTGTAGGTATACCCACTATTCTCAGAACTCTGTCTTATCTTTAGTAGATGCTTCACTTATTTGTTGTGCAGAATTGGAGGGACAAACAGTAATACAAAACAGGCAATCTAGTTGGTAGGGGCTGTAGGAGCCCAGAGGAGGGATAACACTAAAGCTGCAATGGTAGGAAGAGACCTCATGGAAAAAAGAGACCTAAAGCTGGACATTGAGAGGAAGTAGGAGCTTGAACAAGTAGTGAGGAAAGTGGAAGACACTTTGGGTTGGGAGTCTGACATGCCAGGAATGAGGCAGCATGGCCTGGACAACTGGACCAACGGGACAGCAGTGAGAAAAGGGAGCCAGTCACTACTCTGACCTTGATGGGCAGCAACAGTTGCTCGGCATCAAATGATCAGAGAACTACCCATCCCATGGAACCAGTGACATGAACTGAGCTCGTGGTTCTTGCTGGGGAGCTGTAGCAGCCGTGGTGTTCACCCTTTAACCAATATCTAACTTAAGGTCCTCTCTCACAGGCCCTGGGGCTGGTGGGGATGGGGCCAGGGCAAGGAGGTGCCCATACTCTGAGCCATTGAAAACAGAAGTGAGGGGAGAGATGCTCCGATTACCTGGTTGCGTACTGACTCATTCTTCTGAGAAACAGGGTCTGTGTGCATCCAAAGCTCTAGTGACTTTCTTAAGGCCACCTGGGGGAAAGGTGAGAAGCAACACTTACAATCGGTCTGCCGTTCTGGGAGAAAGGAGTTCTGGGATCAAAAGAGAAGGCAAGGAAAGAGGAGATGGTACCGGCAGTGAGGGCGACAGAACCAAAGAGGAGGAAACTTTAAGTAGAAAGGAAGGGGGTGATGACACATGCTGCACACCTGTCTCAGCTCCACGAACGAGTCAATGTTTTCTAACTGCACAGGAAACTTGCCCTTCTCCATGTCATAGACCATTCTCGAGCTGCCAATGTAGTCAAAAGTTTCCTGAGAGGCAGAGATGGGTGGGAAAGGGAACAGAGATTCCAAAGGGTTAGAGCAGCCTTGGTTCCTCGGGGCTGGATCAAAGCTCTCAGCACAAAGGCTACTGTTTCCCGGCATCTCAAATGCTGGCTAGCTTTTGCAGTCAAGTGACCGTGTCCTCCCCCTACCCCGCCTCCCAGCTATGACTATCCCTCAAATGTACATATCACATGACTTTCTGAGTCTAAAAAAGAGTAGAGCAGCCTCAGTAAGTCCTGAGGCAAACATCAGCTGCTGTGCTGCTTCTTGCCCCTCCCATACCTCCACCAACTCAGCCACAGCTGCTGTTCCCTTATTCCAGGGCCAGGCTGTGGGCAGAGTGAGTCAGGAGCCTCAGGGTTCCTGAGAGGAGGTGACAGTAAAGGGGTGCAGGGAATAAAGTATAAGAATGCCTCAAGTAGATGGAATCAGTGGTGGTGGGGGGGGGCAGTGCACCACTTCTGGGTCAGGATGCAGAGCATTCCTAAAATGGGGGGCTCTCAAGGCGAGATACTTGCAGACACTTCCAGAAGCTCTCTGCTGAATAACAACTTAAGTATTGAGATTTTCCCAAAATGGTGGCCACTCCCACCTTTGTCCCCCATCCCCCATTCCTGGCCATTCCATTCAAACCAGAGAGCCCTTACCCCTTGGAAGAAGACAAACATGACGTTGCGAGGCAGGGTGGTCACATCAGGTGCCTTGTGCAAAGCTTCAGCTGCAGCCAGCTGGGTGACGAAGGAGGCAACAGCACTCTCAGCCCCGGGCGCCACATTCCAGAAAAAGGAACGACTGTCCAGCTGGGTCCAGTAGAAAAGGCAGGGAGGTACACTTTGAAAATGGAAATTAGGACCAGGCCCCAGGATCCCTCCCATTTCAGTCAAGTGAATACTCATGTCCTGAAGTCCAGAGTCCCACAGCCCAGATCCCTCTCCGTGTGAGGCTCTCCACTGTAGTAACTCTGAAACCCAATATGCGCAACAAAGGCCTGCCTGCCCTTTCTGTGCCAGCCCTGCCCACCCTGGTCAGGGGCCAACACTCACCTGAGTGGCGGCAACCACAACCCTGTCATCAGGCTCTAATGTCCCAGATGTATTTATAGGCTTAAGCATGCTCCATACGTTGTAGTCGGACAGGGGATCACAAACGATTTCTGAGCAGGACACAAACAGTGAGACATCAACTGGTGTAAGGGAGAAGGTAGCTAGCTAAAAAGAAAGCACAGGAGGCCTCTCTGACCAGTGCCCCATGGACTCTGTAAGCCACGATCTCTATCTCCACTGCTCCATACTGGTTTCTCTGCCACTGCCCACTTCAGGGATAGGTTGCAATTGTTGGGAACAGTTTCCACTTCTCCCACCAGTGCTCCCTGCCTGTGCCCACTCCTTCTCTACAGGCCTCCCAACATTCCTGGGCCTGGGCTTCGTACCCCCACCCACTACACCCAGCATGCCTCGGGTCTGTCCTACCTGGGTTGATGCTAAAGGTGCTCTGGATAGAGCTGCGCCGCATGCAGGTGACAGTGCTGATGACAGCGTGCATGTGTGAGAAGAGCTGCATGGCACACAGCGGGAAGGCTGGTGCTGAGCCATTCTGACTCAGGTTGTGATCTCGATAGCACTAGAAGGGGAGATGGACCCCACTGAGGCAGCTGGCTGGGAGTCCCTCCCATACTTCCCAGAATGAGGAGGGCCCCGCTCTATCCTGAAGCCACTCCCACACCTGTCCTGAGCTATAGTTGTCTGGTGCAACCACAGGATCTATAAGGTCAAAGAGAAAAACTCATCAAGAGGTGTGAAGAAGCACAGACTCAATGACTTAGTTGGGGGAAGATGAAATTAATCAGTTATCAAATGACCCGGCCCAACCTGACATTTCAGTCACTGTTTCTAATACGATTTGCTGTAAAGAGCACCGAACTGAAAGACAAACATCAAATTCAGGACAGCTTGGACATCACCTCACCATGTAACTCTGGATGAATCTAACCACTCTGTTTGTTAAAAAGAAGCTAGACTAGAATTAGAGATTAGAGATGAAAAGAACTTCAGAAGTTACTGAAACCAATCTCTTCATTCCTAGTCCAGTGCTCTTTTTATCATACTCGGGGTTCTTAACCAGGGCTGTATACCTTGTTTCACATTAAATATCCTTCACATTTTCTTCCAGTCTAAAAACCTTTAATGCAGTAAAGGCGGGAGAGAAATGGGAGAGGGGAATGTAAGAAAAATAAATTTCTTGGCTCTTCTTGAAGCAACTGTCTTTCAGAGGCTGCACTAAGTGAGAATGAGATTCTCTCCAAACAAGAGAAGAACCTAAAAAATAATTCTTTCTAACTGGAATAACTAGGAACTGGCAGAATCATTACCTGCTTGATGACATTGGTTTCATTTTCATCTTCAAGAAGAAATATGGGGAAACTAAAGTCTTCATAAGCCAAGCCATCGCCCAGGTAGTTCCATTGTATTTTTCTGCAGTGTGCAAACTCTGGCCCATAGGAGTTGGAGTAAACACCTGAAGAGGAGGGTGGGGGTAGGATGTTGGGACACCAAGCACTTAGGGACCAAGTGAGGAAGGCTAAGATATTATAGGGTTGGGACTAGGAGTTCCAAAGGAGGGGAACTCAAAGAAGCAAGCACCAACCTGTCATCACCCACAATAAAATAGACACTGGTATCAGGGAGCCCTAGGCTGGCCAATTAGGAATCTGAGCACGTGACAAAAAGCAAGAATGGAAGGTTAGTGGAAGAAGGGGAAGCCAGAGAGGGAAGGGATGAATGGCAAAGACCAGGAAACACTATCTTCTGTTTGAGAGTCAGTTACTTACACTACACACAGACACAGACACGGAAACAGAGATACCTCCCTACCCCCCCCCCCAAAGA